TCATGTCGTGAAGCTGCTTGGAAGGAGGTTTAGAACAGACAGAAGGCCCATCATCACCCAGTGCATGAATAGCTTGTGGAACTCACTGCCTCAGGATGTGGAAAGGGCCACCAAGTTGGATGGCTTTCTGAGGGGGCTAAGTACACTCCTGGAGGACAGGTCTACCTTATTGGCCTTGAAGACTCCATGTTACCTCTGCGTTGGGGGGCAGAAGCCTCCAAATACGGGCTGCAGGGGGAGAATTTTGGGAGAGGGACACATCTCCACCTCCTGCTTGCCAGCACCCCGGAAGTGTCTGCCTGATCACCATGAGAAACCAAATGTTGGGCCTTGGTGTGATCCAGGACTGCTTCCAGGTTCTCGTGATACAGGCCAGCTCTCACTTGTCAAACATTTTTCATCAATCCATCTGACTGAGGAGGATGGGCTTTGGAGTCTGGAGCCTGGGTGCCAGATGGGAGAAGGTTGTGGAGGTGGCTGGCCGCATTGAACCGCTGCAACCAAAAGAGGTTACGATCCAATGGTAGACGGATTGGCCGTCACCACTTGGTGATGGAACTCGTGGCCAAAACACACGTGAAGGGCCATTGGTGGGAAGCTCTTGAAGGGGTGGGTGGTTGATAAAAGCACCAAGGAGGAGGCCTTCTGCTACTGGTGGACCAGATAAGGATAGTAGAACCTGCAGTTTCAGTGGCAGTCTACCAGCTGGGGAAACCGGGAGGGACAAGCCCATTTCCTTATTGCACGGACCCACCATGGGAAGCCGGGAACTGCTTTAGCCGTCCCACCATTTCTTTGGCAACCGAACGGCACACGTCCTTCCCTTTGGCCTTGCAGGTGGCGCTCGCTGCTGGCTGCACGAGCATGAAATTTGCAACGATGGAGGGGAACCGCCGGGCAAAGGAGTTCTACCTGCGGCTTGGGGCTCACGACACCACCCAGTCGGAGGACTGGCACTGCATGGAGTTTGGCAAAGAGGCCTTGCAAAGGCTGGTCCAAGAGCTGTGAGCGCCCACCCTGCCCTCAGCCTGCCTGGGGTGGAGCAGCAGTGCCAGCGCTCAGATCGGAAGAGCCTCTAGTCCAGTGTTGTCCAAACTTGGCCACTTTAAGATGAGTGGACTTCAACTCCCAGCCTGGCTGGCTGGGGGATTCTGGGAGTTTTAGTTCACTCACCTTAAAGAGGCCAAGTTTGGACAACAACGCTCTAGACGGTTTTCTCGCTGGCTGGAAGATTGGGGTTCACCTGGAGGACCACCCTCCGATCTAAATCTCTGCCACTCTTCCACCCTCGAGCGTCGGACCCCCCAGGCTTTCTGGCGTGCAAACCTCCACCCCAGTTGCACAGCTCTCTTCCCACTCATTAGAATAAAAACAATGTATTTTTACACGCTGCTTTTTCACTGTCTTGACGAACCACGCACCTGCAGTTATTTTTTCCCCTCCTGGCTCCTCTGAGGTAGTTAGGATTAAACCACACCAAGAGAATTAAGCCATGACCGCTCTGCAGGACAGATCTGCAGACACAGGTAGCATCCAGGCCCACTGGACCACCAGGTGGTGGGTAACCCCATGGAGCTGCAGCCGTTGGCACCCACGTGTGCCATTTCTCCACGAGATCCCGCCCCCTGGATTATACTAAGTGTGGTGGAGGATAGACCAAGCCAGTGTTTCTCAACCTCAGCAGCTTTAAGATGGGTGGACTTCAGCTCCCAGAAT